TTTCAATAAATATCACATTTAATATATTAAAAAATTTATGTTGCTTTTAGTGAAATTTATTAGTTAATTAAAAAAGTTAAGTGTCTAATTTTTTTTCTTATCTTTTATTTTGTCAGAAAACTTCCCTTATTTTCACAAGTTTTTTTTTGTTATCTTCACTTATTTTTCTAATTTTTTCGATATTTTTTAATTAAAACAATTATTTTTAGGGAAAATTTCTCTTATTTGCTTTTTTGGTTTCATGATTGCATAACCGGGTTGAACCAAATCAAACCATATCGGTCCAGCTTAGCTGGAGAAACAACCTAATCCATTTGATCTACCACTCAATTATTCTAAAATTTAATTTGTCGTAATGGAGCTATAAGACAAATTCACATAAAATATTTTTACAAAATTAGAAGTTAAATTTTCACATAATTTATAGAAAAAATATTAGTGAACTTTTACTATTATTTTGAAAATATAACAAAAAATATTTTATTTAAAATTTAATTAATAGTGAAATTAATATTTTAACAAAAACGTGTTAATTAAAAGTGTTTCAAATATTTATTTTCAAGACATATTTTCACAAAAGTTACATAGTTGATTTAGTAGACCAACTGGATCAATCAGTTTTGTTCAAATTGGCAACTACAAATTTATATTTTCTTGACCCATCTTCTTGCTATAGTGTTCACCAAATTTCAACATCAATACACATTGTGATATGTGGATTCAAATACATCCCATGGAGAGAGATAAATTGTATAATGAGAATATTAAAATATTATTTATAAATATAATAAGATTTTTAATTAATTATTAAAATTTATTATATTACTTTTATTATTTATCTTATTGTATTATCTATTTTTTCTTTTATTAATATTTTAGATACTTTTTACTCATTTTTTATTTCAATTTTTGAGCTTTAATTTAAACTATGTTCTAAAAGAATGAACTTAAACATTAATATTTTAATACATTGATGAAAAATCAAATGTGTACATTTGGAAAGTGGAGAGAGATAAAAATAAAAATAGATAGAAAGAGATGGGGAGAGGGAAAGAGACGTTAGAATTAGATAGTTTATTGGGCACATGATATAGATTAGGAGATGTTTGAGGAAGTTTTAGGTGGGGGAAATAGTTTATGAGATTTTTTTGCAGTGGAGATGAATTGTTAAATCTTACAGACCTATGGGTAATCAAATCGGGTCAAATCAGATATAGATATCGGACATCCTTAGTAGATTCAAATTCCAATTGATCTTTGTGAAATCCATCAAATTATAGGATCAAGATCGGATGTAGGATTAATATTATTGGGATATACCCATATCCAAATCCAATATAATTTGTTTGCATCCATAGAAAGTTGAGCAAGTTAAGCCTAATTTAAGTTCAATCCAGGCCCAACCCTAAGAATTGGGTCTGAGGCTTGAACCCAAGACTAATATATATCCACGACTAATCTATCCAATCCAAGCCTAACCACATTGGAATTTAATGCACTTGGATTGGACTTAGGTTGGGGACTGGGCTCATGTTGTTAAATCAGTCATCACTATAATTTGGCATAAAAGTATGTGTTTTTGCATGCATATATGCAAATATGCCTGTTTATGAATATAGTTGAGCTGTGCTTAAGCTACCTAAGGGCTAGGTTCAAGTCTAACCCAAAAAATAAAAATGGCCAAAATTTTGGGCCCACCCAACCCAAGGACCGAAAAAGCAAGCCTAGCTTGTCTTAAGAAGGCATGTGACAACAAGTGAATGGTATTGAGATAAGCAGGAATACTAGATGTAACCAATTAGGGGTGTGTTATTGGATAATAGATGAGGTAGTGAGGTTGCCTTTGATAGAAAAGAGGTAATAGGAGACAGTTTTATAGGATAGGAGGGTTAATGTTATAGGAAAGTAGGCTTTTAATAGTGTATGTGGAGCTGAAATGTTCAAATATGATTATTAATATATGTTTTATGGTACTAGTAAATGTGCACTTTGCACATGGAAATTTCAAATGATAACAACAACAACAATAGTTGTATGTATATTGGTGATTTATTGCCTTTCAACCTAAAAACTTGTATCAAATTAAATCTTCCTACTCTATAGTTTATATCAATATTTTCAATTTTTGTGCTAATTGAACCATTGCTTGCCTAAAGATCAAGTAGACTAATTGAATTGTTACATGACTCGGATTTTAGGTTCATTTTCAACCAAATTGCTTGTCTTTAAAAAACCACTGACTTGACCCACAACATGGTGACCTAGCTAACCAAACCATTGAATCATTTGATTTATTTAGTAGGGTGATGGAATAGACATTAATTTTCTCTTTTCATAATTTTTGTATTCCATTTCCATCATTTAGCAAACATGAAAGTGGTTTCATTAGTAAAATAGTTTTAAATTTTGTATTCCCTTTTTATCATAATAAAACTATTTCTTATTTATCATACGTAAAAACTAGTTATGTTTCCAAGTTGATTTTCAACGTGAAAGTTTTTATGCTATTAAAATTGTTATTCATGAATTTAATTAGTAAAATTTAATAATGAGAAACAAAAATACATTAAACATATGATTTAATGAGAGAGAATTGAAGTAAACCTTAAATATGAGACATAATGGAAGTTAACCTCAAATGGGGGGATGCCATTCCATCAGCAGGAATGGGAATGAGATTCCGATTCCACCCAACCAAACAGTTGTAATTGGAATAGCCCATTCCGATTCTGATTCCAGACCCCTATTCCTGCAAACCAAACAGGGCCTGATATCATGACCCATGAACATCATCAAGGAAATGGTTGATATTCAAGATTGAGATTGGCCAAGATAGAGTGGATGAAGTCCTCCTTTGGGATTAGCTCGCCTATCTATATTAAAACTCAGAAGCTAAAACTAATTAAAAATTTGAACTATTGGATCCTTACATGGATGTCATCGGAGGAGAAGGTCCAAACAAGTATATATCTCCTAACCTTCAGGAGATATCCAATTTGGTCTTAGATGTACCAGGAAAAGCAGTTGATCGACATTGGACAAGGTTTGGGTGGCGCAGTGGTGATGGACTCCGTCAATGAATTTCATGGTTGATGATCACGTGGAACAATGAGAAGAGCAACGGGAAGAAATGTACTTACTTGTCAAAAATGTTTTTGCTATATGATTACCACGTCAAGTTTAAGGTTCAATGATTTCATTCATTCAACTTATGTAAGTATAGAGCTGCATATATGGTAATCTTGGTGTGATTTATTACAATTAAGAGTACTGGTGTTGAATCGAACTACAATTCAAATAGATGTAAAAAAGGCTTTGTTGATTGCAGGAAATTCGATCTCTTATAAACAAGTGATTGCTGAGAGTGAGAATTGTTATTTGAGTTGTTCTTAATCTTCACTACTGCTTTTAATTTGTTTGCAGTGCAACTAATTTCATTAATTTTCACTAATGTAAATGCAGATTAGAAGGTAGAATTTGCACTTAAATCAATTAATGCACTCCCATGCTTTTGTACCAATGCAAATGGAACTTGCATCGCAGGTGTTGAGACAAACCAAGTGAAACATGATTTATCCAGTTGAGGTGAGGAGAAAAAACAATAGAAATCCAACATGAGATAACCAGGAAATTTTCCTAGGATTATCTATGTAAATAATTACAATACAACCATTGAAATCTTGTTTTTCCATGTGCCATTATAATTTTCTTTGCTGCTAGATCTCTCTCTCTCTCTTTTTTTTTTGTTCGGTTTACAAATTATCTCCCGAATTTCGGTTTTCTTCCTTTCTGTATTCATCATTTTGTGGCTGGATTTAAATAGTTTGGTAGGATTATCATATTTGTTTGTTTTATTTTTCAAAAGTTCTATCACGGCTTTAGATTCAAATCTTATTTGCTACGAAGGTTTCTTCTATCTAGCAGACCTCAAGTGAGCTACAGTAGTTTTCTAATAGTTATAGGCTTATATCTAGCTGGTTTCATAGTAAGAAGCTTGTTTTTCTTTTATATATATATATATTTTCTATTCTTTTCCTCTGTTAAGAGATAACTGTTTCCTTAAAATATCCCCTTTTCTAATTATTTTATTTCTGCTGTTTCACAGAGGCTTCAGCTGCATGCTAGAGATACTGCCATGCATAAACAGTCAAACATCCCATCATATGTTTTCCTCACTCATGCTAACTAGCAGGCCTATTCCTGCAGCCAAACACACCCTCAAATTGGCAATATTGCTATATAGTGTATACCACGTCAAGTCAAGCCTTTCAGGTGGGTAGGGGACCAAGTAGTCCCAGCTCCACACAAGTCTCAATCTCTGCCCTCTAATGGGGTCCTCCACCCAACAAAGATATCTGAGAAAGAGAGAGAAAAGTCCACGCCACATTTCTACAAAAAGCCCATAGTGTTTGCTAGCTGCTTCTCATAATCTCATCTCACCTGCCCAACCAAGAAAATACTACAAAAGAGACAAATTTTGGGGAGGAATTTGAATTTCTTCCGCCATTAACTGTCTTCTTCCACATCTTTTCCTTTTGTATTAAACAGTTTACATCAAACCAGTCCCACTCACAAAGGAGTAGCACCCTCGTTCAATAAAGTGAGTGCTAGACATTAGACAGTATCAAAATTGCACGAATCCCTAGGAAAACAAATCCCCACCCCTTCCCTTTCTTTCTCCAACCTTCTTGGCCCACTTCTTCTTCCAAAATCTGTTCCAGATTCAGTTGGGGACTTGGGATGGATGGAACTGGGTCGGGTCAGGTCTCGGTCCCTGCAAATTACCAGGTTAAAACCGTTTTGGGTAGAAATGTTCAGCCCGACCCGAAGTAGGATCCCCCATGCAACACTATCTCCATCACGATGAAGAATCAAAATCTGTCGACGTGGATACGTATTCTATAGTTTGATTAGTAGACCTGTCACAAAAGTGTTTCTTCTTTTTTACAATATATAAATAGAACAAAGTTGAAGGCCATCGACGAGATCTAGAGGTTCTACATACACTACTCCTATCACCAGTCCTCCATGGATAGGGATCTTCATGGCCTCGGAGTTTTCAATACAGGCATGTCCTTGACTTGGGTATTTCTTCATATTAACTTTTGTCTCTTTGTTTTATTCATTATCTTTCTCTCCAATAAAAGGAAACGCCGTTCTTTGATTACTGAAGATGGCTGTTTGTTCATACTTGTGTTCCAGTTATTGAATCTCCTTTCTCATCAGACTTGTCGACTGGGTACCTTGAAGACGCCATAATTCAGTGGAGTAATCGCAGTAAACGGCGAAGAATGTTGTCATATTCTCATGACCGGACAATGAATGAACACTCAGAGGTTTCTTTATTTCTTCTTCTTTTCCTTCTATTGAGAGAGAGAGAGAGAACTCGAACTCATGCATTCAGTGTATTTTGCCACAGAAATACTGGGACATGGATGTTTATGGGGACCCGTTGGCGAATTTTTGCTACTTGAGAGGGAATTATGATTTAATTCCAGGTAAATAATTCTTCTTCTTCAATTACAGTGTTCATTACTTCATCATATCGGTTCTACAATTAATGGACCATCTTCAGTCAAGTAGATTTTTACCCAAAAATAAATAAAAAAAGAAAGTCAAGTAGATTACCCCAACTAATTTCTCATTCGTTTGGTTGTTTCTTTAATTTTTTTTTTTTAATGTGGAAAGCTATCAATGGAGCTCTATATAAATGCGTGAGATAATGCAAGCAAAACTTACATAGTTTTAATATAAGAATTACATCAATGCCAGTATGTTTGGTTTTCTTTATGATTTTTTTATTACTTTTTTTTTTTTGCATTCTAGGGTAGACTAGTGCTCCCATTCATTTTATAAACATGGTATCAGTTTAAACTCTTTTAATTGGTGTGCTTATCCTGTCGAATTACTCTCCAGAGACTTTGTATACGGTATATCTCCGGTGCTAAATCTTGTGTTTTTGCACTGTGCATATTTGTTTTTGCACTCTTGGAGGAGTGCAAATACAAATAAGCTGAGTGCAAAACCTTGTATACATATTTATAAACCTACAGTACATATTTGTATTTGTATTGTTTCCAAACTGAGCCAATGTTTGTGGTGATCACAGAAGAGAACTGCTTGAAACATTGGTGTTGGGAGAGCAGCACCATCAACCATGGTCTGGCAGGCGCAATGGAGAAGAAGAAAGGAGTGCCCGAGTTCCATGAAAGTCGCTCTGCCTCGTCTTCCTTTCACATGGACTCTCTGGCCACGGACCCGGATGAAAAGGACCCCTCATCTTCAAGTATAATTGCTTTCATTTCAAAAGTGATTCTACTAGTTATTTGTGACCTCTGTTGATCACTTTATCTTTTTTTAATTTCTGCTTTTAGTGAGACGATTACTTTCTTAATTGGGTCTGATGGGGTTCTCGTGTTTAATGCTATGAAGCAGAATGTGGGATGTTGAAGAAGAAGAAGAAGAGGGTGACGTACCCTTTTGATGTAGTAAAGCCGGGAGGGGAGGAAGGAGACGTGACCCTGGAAGACATAAATGAGAGAATGCTCATGCGTCCCACAAGGCCCATAAGGCATCCAGTGGGGGAGTTGGCCTATCGCCCTTGTGCGTCTGCAAATGGATTTGGTCTTTCAGGGAAAGCAGTGGTGGCCCTCACTAGAATCCGCACACAAGGAAGAGGCACTGTCACTATTATTAGGACTAGAGGTTAATTGATTGTAGCTTGCTTCTTCTTTTTTTGTTTTCTTTTAAGAACAGATCGATTCAATATTTGTATATGTGTTTCTGTACGATATAAATCTATAAAGATTTCAAGTGGGCTTTTTCTTTTTGCTTTGGATGGTTATATGCATTATTGGCCACAATTATGAATGTGAGAGGTAAGGTACATTTACATCTGACGCTTGTAGCTGATAAGTTAAGGCCATGTTTGGCTTGTTGATACAAATTAATTATAAGAGGTAGTACAGAAAGTTGAGAGAAAGTAATTCTTAATAAATTATATGAAATTCCTTCTACTTCCCTCTTATTTTCTATCAAACCAATAATAGCCCAAAGGAGGGAGACCTTGTTTCTCTCTCTCTCTCTCTTACTTTTTTGGTGGGTCATTTGAATTAAATGATTTAATTCATAGATTGGGGTGGGGATTTTTGGGATAGGTGGCAGAATTGGAATTTTCAATTCCATAATTAGTTTTGGGTCCATTTAGAGGTGGAGTTGAACCAGCTTCAGCAATTAAAAATATGGTTTTTAGCTGGGGAATTTGAAATTGATGGAGGAAGAATCATTTCAATTCAGGGAAATTGAATGGGAGTGGGAGTTCAAATCCAACTCCACTTCTGCTATCCAAATACAACTTTAGGTTGAATTTGATTATTTAGAAAATAAGAGCAAGAAAAAACTATTTGTAGGAAACTCCTTAAGATATGTCCTAAAATTCCATGATAATTTTCTCATTGTTACTCTTATTTTCTAAGGAGCCAATTAGCCAAACACAACATGAAGGAATGCTATTTTAATCTCAGTTACTTTCTTTTCTGGTTGATCAAGCTTTGAGAGTCAAGTGGTTGATCAAGCTTCAGTCTCTAAGTTGGACCCCATGTCTTAGTGGCAGTTGGTGATGACTTTGACAATACTAGAGCTAGAGTTCATTGAAAATCCAAAGATCAGTTTCAAACTAACCTAACCTCTCTAAAAATTGTCCCAATTCATATAATTATCGTGAAGTCAACCAGGTAATGGGCCGGCTAATATGTTTAATCTGGGAAAGCTTCTTACCAAAACAATAAAATAAAAATAAAAATCTGAGGAAAACTTATGGTTAGATTTATCTCTGGTTCAAATCACCCGATAGCTCACCCCTTCTATTGTTTTCTGGACATAACTCATCAGATTCAGATTAATTCATGAAGAAATGGCTCAATAAGTGTTGTCAGAGCTGGTCCAACCATTAGATCATGATCCAGTAAGCTTTCGGGTTCCCGGTCTTCTGACAGTTTTCATGAGTTCAACAATTAATTATCTAAATGGAAACTAGTGAGTAGTGACCCAGTGAGCTTCCACATTTTTGTCTGGTCTTACAAACTGATTAAAAGGTAAATTAAATTAATTACCTGTAACTAAGGACATTAAAAGTAAACACCATCAATCAATGCTGGTCCCCGCCATCCGGATCTTGTAATGGTTTGTTACACCTACGTTAAAAAAAAAACCCGAAAGTTCATGTACTGAAAATCATGGCCGGGCCCAGGTCGGTTTTGACAGTGTATCAACGGCATCTAGGGCCATCCGGGGCTGATAATATATGTCCGGGCCGGGCCCAGGCCATGCCGGACATCCAGTCTTGCTCCTATAAAATTATGGTCTTTAAAAGTTAAAATATTTATCATATATACATTATTGAAAACTGAACCAGACCGGACGGTTGAACTGGTTGACCCAGGAATCAGTCAGGCAACCAGATCTGCTTCACCCTAAAACTATTCCTAGGCCAAAAACCGTTGAATTGGTCAGTGACCCGCTGACCCAGGTGGTTGAACCGTCGACCTGAACAATAATTTTTGGTCATTTTTATTTTAATTATTATTTTTTTTTTTTAAATCAGAGTGGGCCACCCATTCAAACTGGACAATTGGACTGTTTGACCCGGGAACCAATGGCCAGAACTGTTCTATGTCCGATCCTGTTTTTAAAACCTTGCATATATACATAACTTCGAGGCCAGACCAGCTGTGCTGGGCCTAGGGTTTGCACTTCCGAGCACCATTGACTGTGCTACCAAGAACTCTGAAATTCAGAGGTTACCCCACTTCTATAGAGGCCTATAATAAATTTTTTAGAAAAAAAGACTAACTTGAGGGGGAAGTTGTATATGGACTCTAGAATTTAGATATGCTAATGAAGCAGAAATTTGAGGGGGAAGTTGTTAAAGAAAATTTGTGAAATTCCTTAAAAATGTTCACTTTTAACTTTCTGTTTCTTATTTTCTTCCAATCCAAACACCCCCCTCCCCCCTTAAAAACTTTTCACTCAACTTGTTGGGCCATAGGCTGTGCTGCGGGCCATGTCAGCTCGGGCCGAATCAGCCCGTTGGCCTCAAACCCCAGGCCCAGCCATCCTGGTGGTATGGGTCGTGCCATAGAACCGCAAGCCATACTAAGAATGACCCATATTGTGTCAGGCTGTGCCGGCCCTTTGGCCTCAAATCCCAAGCTTAACCCAACCCAGGGGTATGGGCCGGGCTGGGCCTGACACGAGACTCTAGCACCACTGAACATGTGTATTGTATTCATAAAGCAGAATGGGTGTCCCAGTGTCATAAAAGTAGCACGCATGCGAAAAACTTTCATTTCACGTCACCAACCTGGGTTACAAATCATTGTATATAATAGATGACGACACATGAAGACCAAGTAACGGAGTAACGATACGAGGGAGAGAGCACGCATGCTTTGTAAAACACTGAGCAGCACGGTTACCCTCTCTCATGATCCAACAATAATGCGTTTGGACAGGGTTCTCAGTAGTGCTATTTTTTCTCATGCCTCAGTCCAATCTCTACCAACTTACTCCAGTGACAATGCACCAATTGTCCTGCGTTTTTTTTTTCAAATTCGAATCATGGTGGTTTGATGATCCCAATATTCACTCTTTCATTGACAATGTCAGGTCCAATATGTCAGGTGACCTCTCTACTAAATGTTCACAACTTCGAGCTTGCTTACACTCTTATTGTGGCAACCTATCCTTTCTTAAAGCTCAAATTTCTGCACTTGAAAACCAATTGTCCAATTTACAAGGCCAATCAGTTTCTACTGCTAAGTCTTCTCCAAGCTCTGCAGATCCGCACCTAATTTGACATTCTCTTGGACCATAAAGAGGGTTATTGGCTATATTGTTGGAAAGTGGGGTCAATGTAACTTTAGAAGAGAAGCTCGGAGGCGCGTTTGAAGACACTATCTTTAGAACATTATTTGCCCCCATTCAGTTTCACTGAGTTTGTTGTTGGATTACAGGCAAATCCATTCCCAAGATACAACAGAGCCTTGGGCGAGAATCTGCAACTAGCAAAGTTGAAAAATCTCTGGAAAAACCTTCTGTGAGACTGTAGCAGATCGGACTGGGAGAGAGAGAAAGAGAGAGAGAGTGGATTTCGAAAATGTGTATTTTTTAAGTCTGATTCATGCTCCTTAAATAGTTTATGAAAAGGTATGAAGAAAAGGTAGGTGTTGATTCAGAGAAGGCACCTTGAACAGTCACAATTTCAAACATTGTGACTGTTTAAAAAGTAGTTAACAGTTAATGACTGTTAACTTTGAATTATGCCTCTTGATCACACCCGACTGAATCATGACCGTTGATCTCATCAACAGTGATCAACGGTCAGCATCGCACCAAAACCAAAGCCGCCCTTTGTGAAGTGCCTCATTGTGCCGCACACACGTGCACGTTGCACAGTACCAAACCCCCATACTCTCCTCTACTATTTCTAAGGAGTGTAAATCAGCTCCAATTAAAATACTAAAATGAAGGCTTATAATTTTCCAATGTGGGACAAGTTCAAAACTGAGTTTTGTAAGAGAAAAGCTAATTTTTCAATCAAGTGTGCAAGTGCAATTTCTCATGTAATTGACCAATCAAACCCATTGGATTTAATCTCTTATGAGATTAAAATCCAACACAGAGATCCTGCCTGTCCAGACAGAGGGAAGGGGACCATAATACTCGGTTTTTTCATGTTGTGGCTTCTAACAAGAAGAGATATACAGAACTCTATTCACTAGCTAAAGAACTCCATAGGTGATTGAACTGCAAATCCTCAAGAAATAGCAACTATCTTCTACACATATTGTTTTCATCTTCTTATCCCTCCCTTACTTCTTTTAGGCCCTGTTCGCTTTTCGGTAAGTTACTTATCCAAGTAAATGCAGTTATCTGGGTAAGTTTTTCTTGGAAAACACTTACCCGGGTAAGTGTATTTACCCATGTTCTTTTATTTCTTATGTAAATAAGGCAATGATCATTTTAGTCATAAAAATCCATTATTTAAATGGGCATTTTTGTCTCATTCAAGTGTTGGCAACTTTCCCCCTAGGTGGAAAAGTTATTTACCCACCTAGGAGATGGGTAAAAATGATAGACTATGTGCAGTGCCAACAGTTGATGAAATTAAAGATTCTCTTTATAGTATGGGTGCCTACATAGCCCCCAGTCCCGATGGAGTCCAATCGTTTGTGTATCAATAGTGCTGGAACACAATCCACACTGGTTTGGTTCAAGATTTACAGGAATGCTGGCTGAATCCTTCCTCAATTACCAGAGTAAACAAAACTCACATATGCAGCACAAGAACTGCTGTATACCATGAAAAAGCAGAGAGGTAAAACTAGTTATTTTAGATCAAACTAGACCTCTCCAAGGCCCATGACAGTTAGAATGACCATTTGTGCTAAAAGTTTTATCATCGTTGGGATTTTCTCTGGCTTTTTGTGACATTATTCACAACTCTGTCGATTACTCCAATGAGCATTCTAGTAAATGGACGTCCAGGGACTGAATTCTCACCAACCTAAGGGCTTCGTCAAGGATGTCCTCTTTTTCCTTACCTCTACATTTTGTGTACAAAGGTTCTATCTCGAATGCTCTCCTCCCAACTCCACAATGGCAATCTTTGTTGCATTCAATTCGTTTAAGCAGATCTAGAGTCAAATCAAAGCACTTATTTTTTTGTTGATGATATGATTCTTGTTGGTAAGCATATCAGTTTTTTACATTCAGTGGCTGACTATTTTTTATTTATATCCAAGATGGAAGGATCATATGTTGTAGTTCTTGCCTATGTCGATGACTTGGTCATCACAGGGGATGATGCAA